CCCCGCTCTGTGACCCCCCCATACTCATCCTGTGAGCGGTAGCGCAAAAACCTTCGCTCATACGAATAGGTCCAATACTGGCAGTGGCTTCTGCTTTTGATTTCGAATATGTGAAGAAATATTTTGGGGTTTTGTTTATTTCTTGTATATTGGTGCGACATTCGTCATCCTCTGACAGATGGGCAAAACTACCTTCTCATTTGATTCATTAAAGACCGGTGCTAGAGGTATACTGAGGGCCTGTGCACCTTCTTTGAACATCCATGGTGATATGTTATCATGTTTAATCATTTTTTCATCTGATGATGGTAGTTATCTTATCACTTCCTCCATTGTTATCTCAATATTTATGTCTCTCGTCTAGGGTTACTTCCCCTTCTTAGCTCTGGGAGTTATTCCGGCTCAGTCGTGAACACACTGTGGAGACGGGCATGTCGCTCCTCACACATTTCCTTTTCATTTTCTATTTGTTCTCTCTACCGTAATCTCATCACTTGGCCTTTCACTGCTTTTTCTTCGTATATAACGATAGCATGTAGTAAGTTTTTTTTTCTTTTGATGCAATATCATTTTCACTGATTTTCTGATACTCTTCTTGTGTACATGTATTCGTTCCTACCTCTGTAGCATCTATTCTAGTTTTCTTTTGCCCTCTGTATCCGGTCCATTCCCTCCCGCTTTTCGTTATAATTTCTAATCATTGTTTAATAAACCAAAGGTTGTTGTATTCCCTCTAAAGTTGTTGCTCTAATTGTTATTATGAATATCTCTTTCAGCCTGGGAGGGTAGAAATAGCCTCAGCTACTCTATCCCTTTGAGATGTATTTCTTTCTTATCTCAATAAACGTACTTGAACTTGAACTTGAACTTTTTCAGCCTCTCCCTTGGACTTGATCCATCATTTCCTGGACTGACTTCATCTTAAGTTCTTCCTCCCATTGAATATTTCTCAGGTACTCTCTTACTGTCGTGTAGTTCCCTTTTCTGTAGTCTTCTCTCCTTTCTCTGACTCCCCTTGGCTTCCGGTCATTGCTCTTAATTCAACCGTATATTCAAAGACCAGGACGCAATGGTCGCTGGCTCCTAGTCGTGTTTTATGCTTACTCGTTACTTACCTAGTTGTACTGGCTGGGGTTGAGCTCTGGCTCTTTGGTCCCGCCTCTCAACTGTCAATCAACTGGTGTACAGATTTCTGAGCCTATTGGGCTCTGTCATATTTACATTTGAAAATGTGTATGGAATCTGCCTCCACCATATTACTGCCTAATACATTCCATCCGTTAACTACTCTGACACTGAAAAAGTTCTTTCTAACGGCCCTGTGGCTCATTTGGGTACTCAGTCTCCACCTGTGTCCCCTTGTTCGCGTCCCACCCGTGTTAAACAGTTTATCTTTATCTACCCTGTCAATTCCTCTGAGAATTTTGAAGGTAGTGATCATGTCTTCCGGAGCTTCCAGCGACGTAAGGTGCATTTCCCGCAGCCTTTCCTCTAACTCATGCCTCTTAGTTCTGGGACATGCCTAATGGCACACCTCTGAACGTTTTCCAACTTCGTCTGGCGCTTGACAAGGTACGGGCTGCATATTCCAGGATTGGTCTTACGTATGAGGTATACAAGGTTCTTATAGACTCCTTACACAGGTTCCTGAAGGCAGTCCTGATGATTGCCAGCCTTGCATATGCCGCTGATGTTATTATTTTGATGTGGGCTTCAGGAGACAGGTTCTTTCTCTCTGTCCGTTCCATGAAGGACTTCACCTCACATTCGGTATCCTGTGTCTGGCTTCCTGTTTCCACCGCCTAGTTTCATTACCTTACAATTACTCTGGTTGAACTTTAGTAGCCAATTTGTTGAACCATTCATTCAGTTTGTCTAGGTCATCTTGTAGCCTCATACTATCTTCCTGTGTTAATCCTCCTCATAATTTTTGCATCATCAGCAAACAACGAGAGGAAGGAGTCTATACCCTCTGGGAGATCGTTTACATATATCAGAAACAGTATAGGTCCAAGGACTGACCCCTGCGGGACTCCACTGGTGACGTCTCGCCAGTCGTCACCTGTACTTACCTTGTTGTACTTACCTAGTTGTGCTGTATATTCGTGTGTGTGTGTGTGTGTGTGTGTGTGTGTGTGTGTGTGTGTGTGTGTGTGTGTGTGTGTATTCATTTATTGGTGATATATATATATATATATATATATATATATATATATATATATATATATATATATATATATATATATATATATATAATATTATTATTATATATAATATGAATGCCAGTATATTTCACATTAGGGCGCCTGACAGCTGGGTGGACAGCGATTCGGATTCGTTGTCCTGAGGTTCCGGGTTCGATCCCCGGTGGAGGCGGAGACAAATTTGCAAACCGTTTCTTGCACCCTGATGCCCCTGTTACCTAGCAGTAAATAGGTACCTGGGAGTTAGACAGGTGCTACGGGCTGCTTCCTGGGGGGGGGGAGGGGGGATGTGTAACAAAAACGAGGCCTGGTCGAGGACCGGGCCGCGGGGACGCTAAGCCCCGAAATCATCTCAAGATAACCTCAAGACATGAACTGACTCTTTGTCATGTGACGGAGGCCAGTAGGCTGGGTCACCAGTCTTAAAGGGAGTGAAGGAGTGTGTTGTGAGCGGCCACCAGCCAGCCTCTCTTGTGTGTGTGAGCACTTATGGCCTCTACTGGTCCTCTCCCCCCACATTCCTGCTGTGGGGGAGAGTAGGTAGGGTGTGGGACTACTACTGTGGGAGAGGTAGGGCCAGACACGGCAACCAGGGGTAACTGACGGAGGGAGGGAGGGAGAGAGAGAGAGAGAGAGAGAGAGAAGGAGAGAGGGCTGGAGGGAGGAGAGGAGGTGGGGAGAACAGTTAAGTAAATGGGTTTTGGTACAGGCTCTTCACCTACAGGAGATTGTATATATTTTCCCAGATGGAGTTGGCGCTCTTAGTGGGCGTTGGAGACGCAGTCAATCTTGGGAAGAGTTCAAGAGCATCAGCAGTTGAGGATCAGTAGAGGGAAGCTCTGGTTGATAGAGACAAGGAAGTGGAGGGATAGAGAGGGGGGGAGGGTGACCAGGAGGGGGTCTATTCAACCCGTCAACTTAGGATGCCGTCCTCACTCCTACATACCAATGTACTCCGGAAAATACATTCCAATTTCCATTCATTTGGGTCGAAAATGTACGTAGTCGGTTCCTTTTCTTCCCTATGCTTCACCCACCTCTCAGTATACATCCTTTCCCCCTCCGTCTCTCCCTCTCTTTCTCACCCTCCCTACCTCCTTCCCTCCCATGCCCACACCCCCTCCCTTACCCCCTATCCCTGTACTGGCAATGTTCCCTCTATCCCTGTGGGCGCCAGTTCCCTTCGGGGCGCCATTGAGGGTCCTTGTGTTGATCGCGTCTCTCTCTGCGCCTGGGATATCCAAAGTGATTTGAAGTGTTATCAATGTTATTTAACCCCAGGGATCATTATGGCGCGCCGTGGGGGGCAGGTGTTATTGGCCCGTGTGAGGCGGGTGTTATTGGCCCGTGGGAGGCAGGTGTTATTGGCCCGTGTGAGGCGGGTGTTATTGGCCCGTGTGAGGCAGGTGTTATTGGCCCGTGTGAGGCAGGTGTTATTGGCCCGTGTGAGGCAGGTGTTATTGGCCCGTGTGAGGCAGGTGTTATTGGCCCGTGTGAGGCAGGTGTTATTGGCCCGTGTGAGGCAGGTGTTATTGGCCCGTGTGAGGCAGGTGTTATTGGCCCGTGTGAGGCAGGTGTTATTGGTCCGTGTGAGGCAGGTGTTATTGGCCCGTTTGAGGCAGGTGTTATTGGTCCGTGGGAGGCAGGTGTTATTGACCCGTGTGAGGCAGGTGTTATTTGCCCGTGTGAGGCAGGTGTTATTGGCCCGTGTGAGGCAGGTGTTATTGGTCCGTGTGAGGCAGGTGTTATTGGCCCGTGTGAGGCAGGTGTTATTGGCCCGTGGGAGGCAGGTGTTATTGACCCGTGTGGGGCAGCTCTTACTAGCCCGTGTGAGACAGCTCCTATTTATTACCATCCAAACTCACTACTACTCATGTCTAGCCTACGCTTGAAACAATCCATGACTCCCACTGCTGTTATGTGGTCCCTGACAATTTATTCCACTCGATAATTATACCAGCAAAAAAAAAGCATCGTAATTTGAGGGGATTGTGGTGGTGGAGGTCGGTGAGAGGGGGTAGAGGGGGGGGTCGAGGTTGATGGGGGGGATGGACATTTTAGGTGCCGTGGGGGCCCAAAGTGGTCTTGGGGGGGGGAGGGGATTTAGGGGGGGGGCGCTCAACAAGTGCCAGAGGCGAGGAATACAATACTGGCACAGTGCCACCCTCCGATGTGTGTCTCTCATGCTTCCTGTCGAAGGCTTTCTGGCAGTCCTGGAAGATGCAGTAAGTGCGCCAGCTGTCACCTTGTGCCACAGAGTGGTCAAGGGCAGAAGAGGTCAGCTTCCGGGAACTCTACTTTATTTATTGTCACTGTTCCTCTATCGTCGTCTCCTAGTCGGAGGGGGGGGGTGTCTGGGCCCGTGGAGCTGGGGGGGAGGGGGGTGCAGCGGTCCGGGCGCAGTGATAGCTGTGTGAGGGGATAGCTGTGTGAGGGGATAGCTGTGTGAGGGGATAGATAGATAGTTGTGTGGGGTGATAGGGCGGTGATGGAGTTCTGGGAGGAGGGAGAGAGAGAGAGAGAGAGAGAGAGAGAGAGAGAGAGAGAGAGAGAGAGAGAGAGAGAGAGAGAGAGAGAGAGAGAGAGAGAGTAGTTGAAAGATAAGGATAGTTCGTTTTTTTAAAGAGATAAGAAAAAATGCCTTATGATTCTCGTTCGTGTGGGGTGGGGTGGGGGGGGAAGGGTCGTTTGTGCTCGTTAGGGGTGTGGGGGGGGGGGAGTGTGTGTGGGTGTGGGGACCCTACACTTTACACCACACAATATTACAAGTGATCGAGTGATTGTACCACGTTCCAGCCGGGGGAAATGTTCCTGACACGCTGCTGCACCTCACCCGTCAGCACTGGCTCTGAGGTGAGCAGGCGTGTGGCAGGGGCGGTGAGTGCGCCAGCCTGAAGGAACACCTCTCAGGCCGAGGCCTTGTCAGGTGACGGGAGGATGATGGGTGAGGAGGCGCCAGTCGGCCATCCGTGTAGGCTCGCTACCTCTCAACCTCTCCACCACGCCGCAAAATTCCGGAAAAACTATGAGAACTTGCCTCTGAAGCCCCAGTGATTGCCTTCACCTGAAAAAGAAGTAAATATACTGGAAAAAATTATTGTGGGGGAAAGGAATATGAGAGCAGCGAATGTGAGTTCGAAGTGTGAAAGCGCCGCAGATAAGTGCAGGCGTGGCCCGCGAGTGAGCGCAGCGCAGGCGTGGCCCGCGAGTGAGCGCAGCGCAGGCGTGGCCCGCGAGTGAGCGCAGCGCAGGCGTGGCCCGCGAGTGAGCGCAGCGCAGGCGTGGCCCGCGAGTGAGCGCAGCGCAGGCGTGGCCCGCGAGTAAGCGCAGCGCAGGCGTGGCCCGCGAGTGAGCGCAGCGCAGGCATTGACCTGCACAGGTGTTGACTTGAGGCAAGACTTGATCAGTACGTAAGCAGCATGGTGGACCTCGGAGGGTACGTGATCATTCTGGTGGAGACCAAAGATAAGAAGATTAAACTCTACGGTGAGTACCACAACCATTTTTTTTTTTTTTTTTTTTATTTTTTTTTATTATTTTCTACCACAGACGTGGCCACACATTTACAATGCTAACCAGCATATATACATTTTCTTCTGTCCTCCATGGACAGGGTTAGAGAAGTGTTAAACATACAGTTCAAGGGTTTATTGAACACTCAACCACAGAAGGTGATTCGGTGCTTTTAAAATGCTAAGCTAACCTACATACGTAAATACAAAGATACACAGATTTACGTACGCCCTACATAAAGTATTAGATGTGTCTTTTACATATTGTCATTAATGTACATTCACAAAGGTGAAATGTAATTCTGATCAGCTTCCATATTTGCTTTATACCCATACATATACATACACACACACACATACACATACATATATACACACATACATGCATTCACATACATTTGTCTCATTTACCCTGACAGGGTGAGGTAGCTGATAAAGAAACTAGTGTGCAATTAAGCACTTAATCACTGAAGGTGATGAAGGTGCTTTTACAAGCTCAGGTTATATAGTTACATCACATACATACATTGTATGATTGATACATTACATGGTCAATTTTGGATACAAGTCCAATATATCATCAAGTGTTCCAGTACTCATATAGTAACTACAGAGTTCAGCATACCTTAGCCCAGGAGGGCGAAAGTCAGTCAGTATGGGACATTCTACAATATAATGTTCAAGAGAGTGCATGTTTTCTCTTTCACAAAGTTGACACATTGTGTACTCGACATTTGGGTTTTGAGAAAGCTGCCAGATACGTCTATATCCCAGGCGTATTCTGGCCACTATAACATCACATTGCCGGGTTCTTGTTCTATTAGTCCCATATGTGAATGTCTCCTCACGATATCTATCATAATATTTAATGCTACAACTTTCAGGTCTTTGAGAATTTGTTAGGTCGGTGAGATTTTCATTAGATATTTGTTTAAGTATTCTCTTTGTCACTGCTAATGAAACACCCATATCAATTTCTACCACTGGTTTTCTGCAAGCTGACTTAGCAAGCATATCAACAGTGTCATGCCTTGAGATGCCAACATGTGATGGTATCCATACGAATTTAATCTCAAATCTGTTTTTTTTGGCAGCTAAAACATTCATTCGAATATCACTGACTATTTTCTGGGTGTCACTACTATGTGCGTTCAATGCCAGGAGTGCACTCTGCGAGTCACAGTATATAAGTCCACTGCCTTTGTCTTTTAAAAATTCAGTGGCAAGGTATATGCCTGCAAGTTCGGTTTGAGTTGTACTTGCCCAGTCATTGACGCGCTTCATTGCTGTATGTACGAGAGAAGATTGTTCAAATATGTTACATGCACATCCGGTACATCGTCCACCTTCTTCTACAGAGCTGTCGGTATAGCACTGATAAACATCGTTACCCATACTCTGAGTACTTTCAGTGATGCTTTTCAGTGTTAACTGTTTTAACAATGTAGTGTGCACACTATCTTTCTTGGGCGCATTTACAAAATCAACTGATAGATCCCAGTTATCCCATGGAGTAATTGGCTGATTAATCATTAGTCGAGTTGGGTACATATTTAATATTTTGATGGAGTTGGCTACCTTGTAGAACCAATATACATAATCAGATTTCGTTCTTCTTCTATAGACCTCAGGTGAGTGTAGCATATTATAAAGTTTAGCTTGAAACTTCATGTGTTGTCTAGATCTACTCAATGCCTTCACGCCGAAAACTGTGCTAATAGACAAGATTCTCTCACTTATGGTAGGTAATTTTAACTCTGCTCTCATGTTAACTATTCTCGTGGACTTTGGAGCCCCAAGGATGAGACGCATAGCTTCATTTTGCAAGGTTTCAAGAGATTTCAGCTCTTTGTCAGTATACAGTGTGAGATGTAGAGCATTGTAGTCAATCACAGAGCGTATAAATGATACATAAAACATTCTAGCAAGTCTCACGTTAAGCCCATGATTGACACCAACAAGGACCCGCAAGGGCTTTAATCTCTCCCAAAGTCTCCTCTTGAGAGAAGAAAGGTACCCAGGGTCGTTAATGGGGACACCAAGGTATCTGTAAGACTCGCAGTTCTCAAGTGCTCGCCCATCTATATGATAATTGGGTGGTGGAATACCACATGGAATGAGGGCACGAGTTTTCTGTACAGAGATAAGGAGGCCACATTCCTCAGCTCTAGTAGCAAAAGCGTCGAGCAGAACTTGCATTCTAGGCTCGGTGGCAGCCTGTAAACATATATCATCAGCATAACAAATGACAGTGTCTTCATTATTAGTTGGAAGATCTTTAATAAGTTTATGCATCAGAACGTTAAACAATAAGGGACTGAGGACCCCTCCTTGTGGAGTTCCCAGTTCAAAGTGTTTGCTCTCTGTGCTTTTAACACCATTAAACAAAACATATGCTGTTCGATTAGACAAATAGCCCTTTATCCATTTCAGTAATTTTCCTTGTATTCCCAGCTCGGCAAGCTGTTCCAGTATGATTCCTCTGTTTGCTGTATCAAAAGCTGCTGCTAGGTCGATGAAGACTGTTTGGGGGGAAGCTTCAATATGTGCGAAGTACTCAGCAATTAATAGTAGTAGTAATGGTAGTAGTAGTAATGGTAGTCTATCACACCAATATACAGGTATATCACTACCATAGTACCGTCATGGTGGTAGCTTCTACCAGAGGTATTGAATGTGTGTGTCCTCCTTGTATCCCGTATCGTCGACTCATCAGCCCAGCGGATCATCGTGTACCGTATTTGATTTTGTAAATTATGATGTTTAGCATTTTGTATTAAGGGAGTTATGTCAGTTTGTTCATTGTTTAGTATCGAATGGTTTAGATGGCGTCCGTAAATACAAGACGTCTTAGTAAATTCAATATTTATTGTATTTACATGGACAAAATCATGTATTTTCTTCTACAAAGTTTATTTAAAATAAATTTTGTAGTTTATTATTTAAGAAAAATAATACAATTATTTAAATTATTTAAATAATTTTTTTATTTACAAAAAGTAAATTATTTAAAATAAATGTGTGATGAAATAGACTTAAACTCATTTTTCTACAATATATCGGTGTAAATTAGGTGGTTTATACACCGGAAAATGAGGTATATGGTTTGTTATTCTCTTGAACGTTGATATTTGGTCAAGTTATCACGTAACGCGGACGTTAGTTATTTTGATTATCAACATAGAAACAGCTTTCCAAGCCAGAAAACACACACACACACACACACACACACACACACACACACACACACACACACACACACACACACACACACACACACACACACACACACACACAATTCTTGCGTATGCAGCTCAACATTGATTTTTTTTTTTCGCTCCGAGGGGCGAGTTTATTGGGCAGCGCCACTCAACCTGCGACTGAACATACCGCCATAGCAGCATACGAAACAACTCGTCCTCTTACAAATAACGTCGCTTTTCGTTAGTATGCGATACGGCCAAAAATTGCTGTACTACAAAAAGATTTTTTTGTTTTTAAATTAAATTTTACCCAGAACAGCAAGTTAAGGATCCTTTGGTAGGTTAGGAGGGCAGCAAGTTCTCCTGAGGTTTCAAAACGTCATGAAAACTGTTAATTTAAAATGTCCTTTCGAATCAGATTGTAAGCCAGAGGACCCATAACAGAAAACGGGACAGTACGTCAGTTGACCAGACCACACACTAGAAGTTGAAGGGACGACATTGCATCGACTTGAGAATGGTCCAGGACGGACCGAAACGTCGTCGTCCCTTCAACTTCTAGTGTGTGGTCTGGTCAACATACTTCAGCCACGTTATTGTGACTCATCGCCTGCATACAGTACGTCAGTTTCGCAAGCCGCTTCCATTTTCTAGTACGGCAATTTTTAGCCTTAGTACGCATACGAGCGAAAAGCGACGTTGTGTACAACACCCCGAACAGGAAGAAAACCTGCTGGAGTCCGTATCTCGTAAAGCACAAGACTAAATTAGAGAAGGCTGAGAGGCATGCCAACAGATTAGTACCCGAGCTGAGGGGTATGAGCTACGAGGAGAGACTATAGAAACTAAACCTTACGTCGCTGGAACAAAGAAGAATTAGAGGTGAAACGATCAGCACATAAGAGATTCTCGGAGGAATTGATAGGGTAGATGAATAAAAAAAATTTACACAGAGGGCACACGCACAAGGGGACATTAGTTGAATGACAGTTGAGAGGCGGGACCAAAGGAACCTGACATAACACTTAATTATTCTAGGCGGGGGGAGAACTTCATATCTGTGGGAAAATGGCTAATGTGGTACCAATCTAAAAAAAAAAAAAAGGGCGGAAGAGAGAAACCGTTAAACCTCAGAGCCGTATCCCCTGCAAGTTGGTAGAGAGATTGATCCCAAACAGGCTGATAGAACATTTAGAAAAGATCAGTGTTGTCTCAAGGCATCAACACAGTTTTAGTAAAAGAAAATCCTGCTTGACAAACTTGCTGGAGTTCTACAACAAGATGACAGAAAGCCAACAAGAGAGAGGGAAGGATGGGCAGACTGCATATTCATTGACTGTCAGAAGGCATTCAATACGGTCCCGCATGAAAGACTGCTACTCAAACTAGAGACGCAGGCTGGTATATCTGGAAGAGTCCTAAGGTGGGTCAGAGAGTATCTCTCTGGAAGGTAGCAAAGGGTTCCCGTGAGAGCAGAGCCATCAGAGTAGAGAGAGGTTACTAGTGGAGTACCACATGGGGCGGTCCTAGGGCCCATCCTGTTTCTAATATATGTCAGTGACTTGACAGAGGAAATTGGCTCCTTCATATTAATGTTTGCAGATGATGCAAAACTAAGGAGAAGAGTCAAGATTGAGGTAGATTATGATACATTGCAAACGGGTTTCGGCACACTCCAAAAGTGATTTGAAAATGGCTGCTAAAATTTAACCCAGCCAAATGCAAAAATATGATGATTGGAACAGGAGTGCATAGACCGATGCAACAGCAT